CGGGTAAATCTCTTTCCGGCTTATGGTTGTAACTCATGTGTAATTCCGGTTTATAATATAATCGAAACTGATGACATAAAAAAAAAGATAGAACAAATGGCAAATGAGTTTCTATAAAGTTGAGAACCAGTTCTAAAATGAGAATCCCTTCCCATTTTTTCTCATACTTTTTCAATATTTTTTACTTATCAAATACTTAGAAACTCTTGAAGAAACTTCCATCGAAAGTGCTCTTAGAAGTTAGAACAAGATGGATTCTTGGTCCAAAGTTTAGTTACCATTTTTTAATCATAAGAATCCAATTCCAAGTGAGGAGGGTTGCAAATCGTCTTTTCCTTCCAATGTGAGTTTTTTTCCTTTACATTTCAAACCTTCTTTTCTTTTTCTTTCTTAATATTTTAACATGGATGCTTTGTTTTTGTCGGACAACATCTGCCATCTAAGGATGCACAAAATATCCGGTAAGTAAAAGTTTAAGAAAACAGTATCAACCTTAATAAAAAGATATGTTGTGGAGGGAAGTTTGGCGAGATTTATGTTTGTGGTGGAATAAGAAAAACCATGTACATGTTAAATCCAGTCAAGGACTAGTCACTAGAAAATAATTAGGAGAAGACTTGATGGGTAAAAGTGTAAGGCAAGGGTCGAAACTTAGTATTAAGGATGAAGTATGAATAGTGTTTGAGAAGTTTTTCCACTATGCAAGTAGCGTCTTAGGCTACGAATGACGGAAACCGGAACTCATATTAGAGCATGTTCAACCATGATACTTTAGTGGATATTGATACCCAAATATTAATAAAAAACACACTCTCTCTTCCTTTTACTCAACTTTATACCTTCTCTTTCATCTTTTTACTCAACTTTTATTAATTTTATACTCTCTTTAAATATAAAATTATTAAAAACACACTCATTTTCTCTTCAAAAGTATCAAATAGTTGATACTTTTGATACTCTTTCTCTCCAAAAATACCCACTATTTCTTCTCTTTATTCAAATTTATTAATTTTATATTTCAATACACCCCATTATTTCAACCAAAAACACTCTCTTTCTTCCTTTAACTCAAATTTTAATAATTTTATATTTAATGATACATACATTGTATCATCACTAAACATGCTTTTAGGTTTAATTTGAGATATATAGCCGAAAGATGGATAGTAGAAGAAAAATTCGTAAGGATCTAGGAATCGGAAGAAAGCTCTACCCTCTTAAGCTGACGCCTCCATCTTAATTATATGACAGGAAGATATAAGTAGGGCTGGTACAAAAGAAATACCTAAACAGCTAAACCCTGAACCCACCACTTTTTCATGGGGCTGGTACAGATGAAGTAGCAACAAACAAAAAATTGAGGTAGAGTCAATGGATCGACACAATGAATGGAATCGTTATCGTGTGAATCTAGACTCTTCTTTCAAGAGGTTTTCACTTAGTGGCATGAGAATATCGTTTACTTCATATTTTTATAGAATTCAAAGATTATTTTCGACGGTGAATGAAGTAAGGTAGCAGCTATACATGATTAGCAACCATTAATTTAAACGATGTGGAGCCATATGCCGGATGGTTTAAAGGGAAAACATGGTTTTAATGGGTATTTAGTGTGAGCGTATCATGGGAGAGTGTACGTAATTATGAGGTTAAAAAGTAAATGATGAGTCAATGACTGTGCAACAAAACAAAAAGTAGAGAGTTTAAAAAAAAAATATCATATCATACGATTCATATGGGCTAATAAGATCTAAGTGATGATTATTTAGCCAAAAAAAGAAGAAAAAGATCTAAGTGATGCTATTGGGTTTGAACCAAAAGGGAAGTTTGGACAAAGAGAAATGTAGCCGAAATTTAGTGAGTCCCATGATTTGGTCATCTATCGTATATGGGATGGTACACAAACATGAAGATACATGTTTGCTATGTTTTATAGCCTCATCGGAAGTGGATTCTACTTCCAACCACACATAATTTAAGTCTTAAGAAACTATACAAAATGAAACATTCTAGAACCACAAGTTTGAAAATCGATCTATAGCCACTTCGCATTTAAATTTTGAAAGCTTATGTTCAATTTAGTAAAAGAAATCAACATTTTAACCATTACCCGACAAATAAACCATCAAACCCAAACCTTCTCTCTAAAACAACTTCAAAAACATGAATCTTCCTTGTCGCATAACAAAGGAGTAGAAGCAAAGAGATTCATGACATTTTAGGGATTCGTAGGAGGGATAGAGGTGGATTCAAGGGTTTAGGGTTTCGATTAATGCTTAGGGGTTCGTAGGTTAAAAATTCAAGCTCAAAAATTAGAGACTGGTTTTGGTTTTTTTGTCATCTAATAGTTTCCAATGATGGAGTCAAGTTCCCTAAATTCAAAGAAGCAAACAAGTTTTGGGAGATCATTGGTAGCGATGATGGATACGCCTCCTATGAAGCTAAGTGCACACTCGTGAGGAACCCCGTCTTGCGATATGTGCACCTCGTGTTGGGAAACAGCTTCTTTGCACGCCGTGAACCAAGCTCGTTGAGGCAAGTACCGCTCGTAATTGGTGTAATCCGAAGGAATATCCGCGTAATCTTCATCAAGCACGACTTTCACTCCATGAAAAATGAGGTTGAGCTCATCTTGCCTAAACGAGCTTGGTTCACGGCGTGCAAAGAAGGTGTTTCCTAACACGAGGTGCACATATCGCAAGACGGGGTTTCTCACGAGTGTGCTCTTAGCTTCATGGGAGGCGTATGCATCATCGCTATCAATGATCCCCCAAAACTTGTTTGCTTCTTTGAATTTAGGGACTTGACTCCATCATTTTTAGTAAAACCAGAGACATCACATATCCACGCTTGAAACGGATTCTCTCTTCCACGACCATCTTGTTACTTTTGGTTGCGTAGTCCACTTCCAAAATAGCGAGAAACTCTCTAGTGAGATCTTCATATGTGTCATATTCTATTGTTGTAACTAATTCAATCCCGATTTTAGGACCATCTCTAATGTCATATCATTTGTTTAGTTTTAAATCTAATGTAATATCATTTGTTTAGTTTTTTAAACATTTTTTTTTCTTTTTCAAAAAAAAAAATGTTTAAAACTGATAAACTTACCGAAAAATTAAAATTAAACACACAAAAAATGAATTGAGCCTTTAATAACAAGCGGATTGAAGAAGACTCACGAACTAGAAACACATTTTGAGAGGCCTAATGCTGATAATTTTCTTGTTAATTAAAAGCAACCTTAGGAATCTCAAAGTTCAATATAATTAGGGGGCTAAAAGCTTAAGAACATCACAATATTCTTATTCCCCAACCAAACCTCCCTTTTCATGTTTTAGAGCCTGTCCATTGGAGTGCTCTCAAATGTGTTTTTAAAATATAAAATTATTAAACACACACATTCT